ATCAGCTCCACTTGTGGTTTTGTTCGCATGTTCATGGATCTTTGTTCTGTGTCAAGGTAAGAGTGTGTGTTTGTGTGTTGTAATGCTTTATACTACTTTTGTTTTTCTGCTGCTGAAATGTTTGTCTGTGTTAGTGAATTATAAAGAAAACTAAACACCACTTAATTGCAGGTTAAAATGTGTTGTAACAAGCGTTACTGAGAGTGTAACGGGTATAATACTACAGATTTTCTTTAGTAATGTGTTACATTACTGAAATCTCATTACTTTTGTAACGCGTCACTCCCAACACTGAGTATAAAGTTTTAAAACCTGGATATCAGAAGATTATTGCAGACAGGACAGAGTTACGAGTGAAGGCAGCACAGACAGACAGCAGTCTGGAGCCTAAAGCACTGAAAACTGGAAACTGCTGAGTTTTAACTTTCAACTCTGACTTTATGCCAGTGAAAATAAATTCACTGAATAATGTATTATTACAAATTAACATATGTACATTTACAGTCTCATTACATAATTTCCAGTTTGACATTTTGATAGGTTGATAGCAGATTTGATTAAATTTGGTTAAAAACTAAATTTAATTATAGGTTGAATTCAGTGAGAGCATAAGAAAACAGCATAAAACAAAAAGTCAAAGTTATCGGTTAAGTAAATTTACAGAACATAATTCATGTGTTATCAGGAAGTTGATCCCACAAAGAGAGTGTTAAAAGAAATGTCAATGAAAATGCTTCAGCTTGATTTTAATGTAAGGGTTTAAATTTTGACAAACTAACTTACTGTGGCTATAATATAAACATGTATGTTGTAATTATGTAACAAAATATTAAAATGTTGTTTGAAATTTTATAAAACCTTTTAATTAACATATTATTGTCCTGCTCAAATTTACTAAACCTGGTGTGGTAATTTCAGACAGCATGTTTCAGGTAAAAAGGTTCAAATGAAATGCACCACTAATGTGGATTCATATAACCTGATGCAAAGAGGGAACTCACATATCTGTCGACACAGAACCGCAGAGACGTAGCCTACAGGCAACTTTTACGGCAAGGCAAGTTTATTTGTATTGCACAATCTAACAACAAGGTAATTCAAAGTGCTTTACATAAAACATAAAAGCAACAGGGAAATATGTAAAGTTTAAAAGCAAGATGAAATATAATAAAGGTTACAGTGTTACAATCAGGGTTAAAAGAGTTAAATGGAAAATAATAAAAAGCTAAAAACAAAGACAAAGAAAACAGGACAGTAAAAGTTAGAGTGCAGTGTAAGTTATCAATAAAAAGAAAAATCATAAATATTTAATTAAAAGCTGTGGTAAAAAGAAAAGTCTTCAGTCTTAATTTAAAAGAACTGACTGTTTCAGCAGACCTGCAGTTATCTGGGAGTTGTTCCAGATATACGGAGCATAATAACTGATCGCTGCTTCTCCTTGTTTAGTTTTGACTCTGGGGACAGAAAGCAGACCTGCCCCAGACGACCTGAGAGGTCTGGATGGTTCGTAACGAAGCAGAAGATTGGAAATGTATTTTGGCCCTAAACCATTTAGTGCTTCAAGAGACAGAAAATCAACTTCAAAAAGAAACCCCTGAAGCTAAATCCTCAGGTCCAGGAACCAAATCAAGCAGTTGACGTCTTCATATAAGAAGCCCTGCAAAATCAACAAACCATCCAAAATCACCCTCAGTAAACCGATTTATTACAGACACACTCTTTTAATACATATATTTTAAAAAGGGAACTATTTCTTCATAATCATTTATTTATTCCTAAACATTTATATATCCTATTATTTTAAACAAGACATTGGACCCATGCCTCCCAGGTGTCCCCCAGCATCTTCTCCTGAGCCCTGAGCTATCTCTCCAATCCCATGAATAAACTAACAAATCTCAGAAATAAAAACAGATGTGACAATAGACCTCATAATTGTTTAAGATTTATAGTACTGAAGTTTTTTTTTAAACTTCACTAACTAATTACCTTTTTATTATGATGATTTATAGATTCACCTTCTGTTGATCATTAGGAGAGAAATGTGTGAAACTTCCTGTATCACCTTCATTTACTGATTGAAGAACTGAAGTTTCAATTCAATATGTACAGCATTTACTCGTGATATCTTATTATAATAATTACTTTTGTTATTTGATAATGAATTTTCATGTAAAAAAATCTGCTGGTTGTCACATGTGAAGATTTGCTGCTTTTCATTTGTTTGTTAATAAAGTTGAGGTTTGGACACAACAAGCATTGTGAAGGTGTCACTTTGAGCTCTGAATAACTGTAACAGCATTTCTCACAATTTACAGAATCTTTACAAACAATCAATCAATTAATGGAGAAAATAATCAGCAGATTTATCCAGAATGAAAATAATCATCAGCTGCAGTCTGATAGTTCAAAATGAGCTCCAGCTCAACAACTACAGCAGTAAAATGCTGCTTTATATTAATGTGTGAGGAAAAATAATCTGATGGTAGAATTTTTAATAGCACAACAGTCACAGGGACATTAAAGTACATTTTCCTGATTGTACTCACATACTTTTACTTCAGTATTTTTTTCAATGCAGGACTTCTATTTGTAGCAGAATATTTTTACAATGTAGTACTTTTACTGTAGTTTCTGTATACTTGATCCACAACTGCTTTTCTCAGTCTTTAACAAAAGGAAACTAATGATCTGTGATGTGTCTGTTTCTGACAGCGTCCACTGTTGGCAGATATTTCTGTATCTTTGACTTTAAACACAATATAAAACTAAAGTCCTGCTATCAAAATGTTACTTGAGTCAAAGTACACAATTACTAGCTAATATTACATGATGTTGGCAGGTAAATCTGTATCAGTGTGTCGTATGTACAATCTTGGGGTGGTGATGGTGCAATGGATAAGATGTCTGCCTTTGGTGTGAGAGACCTGGGTTCAATCCACCATTGTGTCCCTGAGCAAGACACTTAACCCCTAGTTGCTCCAGAGGCGTGCGACCTCGGACATGTATAGCAATTGTAAGTCGCTTTGGATAAAAGTATCATTTAAATATATCTTAATCTGCAGAGTAACCTGTGGGCAATCTGTCAGCTACATGTTTTATTTCACATGTTTACAATGAAGGAACGATCAGAGCTGTTGATCCTGTTAATGCTGCTCTGATCTGAGCTGGAATTAAAAGCAGCTCAACCAAGACCCACCTGAGCTTCCAGGCAGCCGTCCAGCTTTCAGGTTGGACAGCGAGCATTATGTCCTCATTTAAAACCAGGAAGCTGACAGTCCAGTCTGACTCTTTATATTCTAACAGACAGACTTTATATCAGTTATTTGTTGACTTATGAACAGCTTCCTGTCTTTAGAGCAGAGATAACCAAGAGTCAATAAACCGGAAAAACAAGATCATCAACTTTCTTTAAGCGTAACTCTGGAGCTGAGAAACAAAAGCGAAAGCTGATGGCTCTGAATGTCTGTCTGGGCATGTCCCTGTGATTAGAAAACAAAATGGTGGGACATTTAGAGGGCAGAGTTTGGCATGAAGCAGCTCTGAGCTCATTTTAACTTCACCATCACCCACACGTCAGTCTGAGTCAGGATGTGGGTTCAGTTCTTCCTCCTTACTGTTGGCTGGCAGAAACATGAGAACATCATGTGTGTCTGAAGACACAGTTTTGTAGTTTCCCTCTGTGACACATCCACCATTGTGTCCTGTGGTGTATAATATATGTGCATTTGAAATCTTTTTGTTTTTCGAGACTCAACTAAGTCTCGCAGGGGGGAATATGTGGTGTATATATATGTGCATTTCACGCATAACAGTTTAAAATAGCACTGTAGCAGCAGGACAGAGGGTCAGTGACCTCCTAAGGGGAGAGCAGTGATTGGTGGTTATGTAGGGACCGAACCCTTCTATAGAATTTGACCTCTAACCCCTTGTTTTGATATCCTATATAAGCTGTGTTTGATGTACAGAAAGACAGAGTGGTCATCGGGCTGGGTCTCTCTCTAAGCTGCTGCAGAGCTTGTAATTAATGCTGAACTCCTTGATGTAATAAACTTTTATGATCAAGAACAGTGTCAAGCGGGTTTCTTCTCAACACATCATCGCAGCATTATTGTTCGGACACCACAGTCCCTAAGCAACATACTTAACCCCCAGTTGCTCCAGATGATAAATAATATGATAAAAACAGACGTGGGCCACTTTAGGTAAAGTATAACTTGAATAAGTAAACTCCTCTTCTTTACCAAGTTGGTCAGTAAGGAATCTTGTTTTAATTATTGTTGACAACAACAAACTGTTTGTCATGTGAAAGCACCACTCGTAATCGTTGCCCAGCACTACTTTGTATGTTTTATTTGAATGTCAGTATGTCTGACACACACAGTATTGATTATTTGTTTTATTATTTAATGGTAGTGTAAGACCTGAAGGCTTCTCTGTGGGCCCTCCCTTGAGGCCTCCAGGAGAGCCACATGTCTGACACCACTGTGACGATGCAAGACAAACACAAACACACGCTAATATTCAGATGCACATTTCACCTATTTCACATTTCACATATTGCATTCCACCCACATTTATGTTACAACTGACAACCAGACTATGAGGTGAATTATAACATTTTACTTCTTGTGTTTGAGTCTAAATGCATTTTCTGTCTGTGTTGCAGAGAAAACACACATTTATTAGCAAACACGTGACAAATTTGTGTCACATTTTGAAGGCTCTGGCTTAAAAGAGCTCCAAGGTACAGACAGAAACGTCAAAAATGTTTCAACTCATGATGCAAACTACATATTTTTTCTCAAATCACTCCCAACATTTTTAACATGACTTTTGTTGTTTTTAGAGCACATTAAAGTTTGCTTTGCAGTAACAACTGTCATAATAATATAATATAATTCCTCTTTTCTGTTGGAAGTTTGCATCACATTATAGTGTTCATGTTATTATGTGCACATTTGTAGCACTTTAATGTCATTAGTCATCAAACAATCTTGTAGTTTATATATTTTTGTTGTTGTTTTGGCCTATATGCGTGTAATGCAGTAAACAGTTCAGCTTTCTTTGAAATCACGGGACACATTTCCTCCTCGCTTGTTTGGGCGGGTCTACTGTAAAAACAAAAAACTATACAACAGGAAGAAGAACCCAGTCTGCGCTCTGCTGTCATGGTCGCTTTAACATCAGCGCCATTCGTGGCTTTGTTCGCTTGTTCATGGATCTTTGTTCTGTGTCAAGGTAAGAGGAGTGTGTGTGTTGGACTGTGGCGATTCATTGACATCAACGCCATCGATTATGAAAATACGTAGATTCGCATAACTTGGCCTGGACAACAAGCCGCCATCTTTGGCATTACGGACTTTCCCCATAGAGCCGTATGTGAGCAGGAAGTGATTGAGTGGCGTGTCTGCTCTGTAAAACGTCTCTGATATTACACAGAGGTGAAATAAATCCATGTCAGAAACATTTAAAGTTTAAATAAAGTTCTGACGGTCTGTTATTATTATTATTATTATATTATTAGTAATATTGTAACACAGCAGTGATGCGGAAGTTAGACTATGTGAGAAGTAGATCAGCAGGAAGTTGATGGATAAATTATCTTTGATTATGTTGATTTACAGATTTATCTTCTGCTGAATGATCATTAGGAGAGAGATGTGTGGAACTTATAAACTTATTTACTCACAACTGTTTATTAATTATATGTAGGGGGGGGGATAAATAAAGTTATTTGAATTGAATTGAAACTTCCTGTATCACCTTCATTTACTGACTTAAGAACTTTCTTAAAAACTGTAGTCTGAACAGTTTATACAGCAATTACTCCTGAAAACTGTCTGTTGTTGTAACTCATATTTTCAATTCTATTTACAACATATTCATTATAATTTATATTCAAATATAGTTTTTTGTAGACTTTGACTCTGCAGGCTGCTGGATATGTTTGTAAAGTTTATTATGAGCTGACTTGTGAACAGAGTCTCCACCTCTGACCTCTGTTCCTGTCCAGCACTGTAGTTTACTGTGTGGACGGATGGACAGCAGAGACCAACATGTGTCCTCTCCCCTCTCGTGGTGTCTGTCCATGCAAATCCAGCAGCTTCATTTGTCTCTCTGAGAAGTAAAGCAGTTTCATACTGTAGGGACTCTTTCCTCAGTAGAAGTAGTTCAGACACAGTCTGAGTAGAGGACGGACAGACTGGGGACACATTTGGAAAACAAGGACAAAGATTCAAAGCTTCTAGGAAATAATAAACTTCACATGTTTAATATTTCAGCTGTTTGTTCAGGCTCAGAAATGCTGATGTCTGTATTCAGATGGGAAATAATATCAATAATCAATAATCTCCAAACAAGCAGAAAGCAGATGAAAGTAAAATGTCTCCTGTCTGATGGTGCGGAGGACGACTTGACTGACAGCTGTAGAAATGAGCAACATGAAGTCAGCGTGCAGCTGCAGCAGAGGAGTTAGTCTCTCCTTTCTGCAGCTGGGACTCAAGTTGTCTGAGAACAGGGTTTGAAATGCTGCTGAGTTCACATGTGCTGTTTTATAGAGACCTGATCTCTGCTGCTTCCATCAAAAGATGTTTGAACAACAGGAAACATTACAAGTCCTGACTGGAGGCTTTTCTCTTTCTGTTCAGAGACACCGGAGCTGAAGGTGAAGCCTGGAGAGGACGCCACTCTTCAGTGTCAGAGTCACAGAGGTGCTGACATAGACCTGATAAAGTGGATCAGAACTGACCTGAAGTCAGATGATTATGTCTTCTTCTTCAAAGAAGGCCGCTCATATGAAAACAACCAACATGAATCTTTTCGTGGTCGAGTGGAGCTGAGAGATCCAGAGATGAAGAACGGAGACGCTTCTGTGATTCTGAAGAACGTCAACATCAACGACGCTGGAACATATGAGTGTTGGATTAGAGAGAAAGACAGTTCAGGCAAAGTTGATGTCGTCAGCTCCATCGGTCTGACAGTGACAGATTCAGGTAAACGTGTAGAGCTCAGAGTTTCTCTTTGTCTCTCAGATGAGCGTGTAGAGCTCAGAGTGTCTCTTTGTCTCTCAGGTGAGCGTGTAGAGCTCAGAGTGTCTCTTTGTCTCTCAGGTGAGTGTGTAGAGCTCAGAGTGTCTCTTTGTCTCTCAGGTGAGCGTGTAGAGCTCAGAGTGTCTCTTTGTCTCTCAGGTGAGCGTGTAGAGCTCAGAGTGTCTCTTTGTCTCTCAGGTGAGCGTGTAGAGCTCAGAGTGTCTCTCTGTCTCTCAGGTGAAGCTGCTTCCTGGTAGTTGAGCTGAGAAACATCACAGATCAGATGTTTGTGTTTTAGAAAGATGTTGCTGATGAGACTTTAGAGGAAACAGCTGCTACGAGTCATGTGATCAAAGTGCAGTAGATAATGTCTGACATTCTGTTCACCTGCTGACAGCTGATACCTCACACCTGTTTCTGCTCTGCAGGTCACACAGCTGGACACAAGGAGGGAGGAGACAAGGAGGGAGGAGACAAGGAGGGAGGAGGCAAGGAGAGAAATGTTGGACTGAAAGCCGGTCTGTCAGTTGGTGGGATTCTTCTTGTTGGTGTTGTTGTTTTTAGAAAGAAGATCTTAACAAAATGTAGAGAATGCAAAGACAATAACTCAGACCAACCTGCTGCTCCTGAAAATGAGCCGATGCAGGAAGCAGAGCCAGCAGATGTGAATTAGTGAGTAAATGTGCCTCATGTGTCTCCCATGAAATAAATCCAGAAGTATCTAAAAGCTGGAGGTAGATGTGACTGACTGTAGCTGGATCATCAGCTGTGACTGTTTTCCAGCTGCAGTCAGATCATCAACATGTTTTTAAATGATTTCAAGTCTTTTTATGAAGGCTGTTGTAGAGACGTGTGATGAAGAGAGGATCCAGACTGAAGTCACTCTGGTTACTGTGGGGAGCAGTGATTGGTCGTTACTCTCTGGCTGCTGATTGGTGGACTGAACGTGCTGCTGGACAGAAGAAACACATTCCTCCTGTAAAATAAACCTGAGCTGTTGACACACGTCTGATTTCACCTGGAGGCAGGTTAATGCCAGATGGGCTGACTGACCAGCAGCTCTGTGGGACAAACAATATGACCTGATGCTGGAACAGCCAGCTGATTGTTAATTACAGGAAGTGGTACAGACCGTCGGCACCTCCCCCCACCCCTTCAAGTGGATCCATCCATCCAGGTAGAGTCAGAGGTCAAATCAAATTAAACGGGTAAAAGACCAAAAAAGTGAAAAGTTCAGAGAGAAAAAGAATCATAATCTCAGGTCTGAAGCTGCAAAATGTTTTAAATCAACAGTTACTGATGTCAGTGCTGCTCAACATCCTGCTAGCTGCAGTTATAACACTAACAGTCTGTTCTGGATGACGGAGCTGGACTTTGTTCCCAGTCCGACCCTGAAGAGCTCAGTCCCTGTTGTTCACTCACCGACCTGCATCAGAGGGGAAAAGATCCTGTTTGGATTCACTGCAGCTCTGTTTTCCTGCATGAGGACATTTTTCATCGTCTTCTCTGAGAGCTGCTCAGGAACTCTGACTGTGAAATGTTCTTAGACAACGATACAGATAATGTGGCCTGAAGTGGACTCATGTTGCTGTGTGGTTTGTGGTGAAAAGCAGAGATAAAGTCATCTGTCATCTGTTTCCTGCCTGTGAAGGTGAGCTGTGTGTGTGTGTGTGTGTGTTGTGTGTGTGTGTTTTCTGGACACTTTGTTGTAACATCTTCGTGTTATATTTTCATTAACTTTGAGTATTTGGGAGAGTAAAACAGCACAACGGTCTGGTAATCCACATGTTTATTATTACATTGACTTCAGCTGTTGATGTTTTCTGATCTGTTAGAAAGAGACTCTGACAGACAGCAGAGTTCACACAGCCACATATTCCTTCTTTAACGTTCAGCTGCAGGCTCAGACTCCCAAAACTCAGCTCACCTTTTATGCAAAGTTTGAGATGAAATTATTAGTCGATTAACTGATTACACAATGTACAGACACATCTAATGTGAACTATTTTGTTTGATACATGTAAGTATTTGCTGCTTTTGGTTGGAATGAATTTAATTTTTGTTAATAATTATAGAGAATTGGACAAATCAGCATTGTGAAGAGGAAATGTGTGAGGAAAAATAATCTGATGATAGAATATTTAAGAGTACAACAGTCACAGGGACATTTTACTGCTTAAATCTGCTTCAAGTAGATTTTCCTGATTGTACTCTCATACTTTTACTTCAGTAACTTCTTAAATGCAGGACTTTTATTTGAAGCAGAGTATTTTTTCAGTTTAATACTTTTACTTTAGTTTTTATATACTAGATCCACAACTGCTTTTCTCAGTCCTTAACAAAAGGAAAATAATGATCTTGGTTATTTCTCCTGTAAACAACTTTCTGATGCTGAACTGATCTCTGCTGCAGAGACATGAGGCTGTGATGTATCTGTTTCTGGCAGCGTCCACTGTTGGCAGATATTTCCATAAACACAATATAAAACTACTGCGTTAAGTAAAAGTTCTGCTGTCAAAATGTCACTTGAGTCAAAGTACACAATTATTAGCTAATTTTACATGATGTTGTCAGTTAAATCTGTATCTATGTGTTGTGTGTAGGTAGGTACAGTTTTAATCTGCAGAGTAAGTGCATGTTTTATATCACATATTTACAATGAAGGACATGATCAGACCTTTTGAACCTGTTGCTCTGATCTGAGCTGGAATCAAAATCAGTTTCCAGGCAGCCGTCCAAAAACAGGATCATTGACCTTCTTTAACTGCAACTCTGTAGCTGAAGAAAGAGAAAGTGAAAACTGATGGCTCTAAATGTCTGGGCCTGTTTGTAATCAGATAATAAAATGAGAGGTGTGGAAGCAGCTCTGAGCTCATTCTTCCTCCATCCCCCACCTCTCAGTCTGAATCAGGATGTTTTCTTAACTTTTGGCAGGTAAAATCTTGCTAACATGAGAACAGACTGCTGCTCTTTTATTCATCATGTTTCTGTATATTACAGAATTGAGAGTTCAGTTATTAGTTTTTACTGTTTCTGTCAGACTGAACTCAGCAATCAGACTGCAGACTTTATTTCTAAAGCATCATTCATGCAAAATACCAATAGGTGTGTGTTTTGTGTTGAAAAAAGTAATAATTACAGTGATAAGAGTCATTACAAAGTTATTAGGCAAGATAGAATTAAAAAAAAAAAGTTCAAGACAATTCAACTTCAACAGGCGGGCGTGTGTGTGCATGAGGCAGCACTTCACCTCACTCTAACAGGGACACTTAATGTCTGCTGATGAAGGCATGTGCTCAGTCCTGGTACTCCTGGACCTTAGCGCTGCTTTTGACACCATTGATCACAACATCATGTTAGACAGACTGAGGTACTGGTTTTCATCCTACCTGTCAAATAGGAAGTTTTACGTGTCTGTAAACAACTATGTCTCCTCGTTCTGTCCAGTTAAATATGGTGTGCCTCAGGGGTCAGTCTTAGGACCCATTTTGTTTTCCTTGTATCTGCTTCCCCTTGAACATATTATCCATAAACATGGCATTTCTTTTCATATTTATGCTGATGACACACAAATATACTTGCCCGTCAGATCCACAGACCCTGGAACGCTGAGTTCACTTAACAACTGCCTTTGTGAAGTTAAAAAATGGATGTCAAATAATTTCCTCCAGCTGAACTCAGACAAAACAGAAATCCTGGTCATCGGGTCCCAGCAGATGGCAAAACAAATACTGCCATCTGCTGGTTCCCTAGTAAATCACATTAAGCCTGTGGCAAAGAACCTTGGTGTTTGGTTTGATAGTAATTTAAATTTCGAGCAGCACACCACAAAGCTTGTTCAATCATGTTTTTATCAACTTAGAAATATAGCTAAAATTCGATCCATGTTAACTTTTAAGGACACCGAGACCATTTTACACGCCTTCATCTCATCACGCCTGGATTATTGCAACAGCCTTTTCACCTGTTTAACCCAAAAATCTATTGATCGACTCCAGACTGTCCAGAACTCACCTGCCAGGCTTTTAACCAGAACAAAAAATATGACCACATTACTCCTATTTTAGCTTCATTACACTGGCTCCCAGTATGTTTTAGAATTGACTTTAAAATTCTATTGATCACTTTTAAAGCTCTTCATGGCCTCTCGCCTTGTTATATTTCTGACCTTTTAGTCCCATATACACCAGCACGTACCTTGAGATCCTCAGGCAGAGGTCTGTTGTCTGTTCCAGAGTCTCGACTGAAAACTAAAGGGGACAGAGCGTTTGCTGTCAGGGCCCCGAGGCTCTGGGACAGCCTGCCCGAGGAAATCAGGTCGGCTGAGTCAGTGAACTCTTTTAAGTCCCTTCTTAAAACATACTTTTATAGGAGAGCCTTTCCCGATCTTATTTTTATTTTATTGTATTTTACTAATTTTATATTAATCTGTATTTTAGTCTTTTCAATGTTTTCATGCTCTTATCTTGTTTTTTTGTATTATTCTTTACACGTGTTAAAGCACTTTGTAACTTGTTTTTGAAAGTGCTCTACAAATAAGAATTATTATTATTATTACTTGCTACTGAACACAGACTGTTTCTGCTGCTCCCTGATAAAAGACATTTTTTTCTGCAGATACCTGTTCAGAAAAAAGTTTTAACAAGCTAGATGAAAGGTAATGCCCTGACAGTGTTGAATAACTTTGGTTTTATATTTGATTACATTCAGTGCTTGAAGTGGGCTGGAACGATTGAAACAGGTGTTTCAACAAATAGCAACCAAGCGAGTTAGAGAAAATAAATAATTTGTATCAAAATAAAGCCAGGTTCCTTGCAATGAGAAGATTCCACTAATTTAGGCTCTCAGAATCAATCCAGTGATCATCTAAGATTTTTAAACAGCGTGTAGCCTACATTTATTCTGCAGAGACTAAACACACTTTAACACTTCACTAATGGAAAGTGAAAGTATTTCTGCAGCTTCAGGTCACACAGGCTGTTTTCCAACATGCCCATAGATGCAGTGTGCAGAACTGGAATAGAGTAACATTAGTAGAACAACCTGAAACAGAAAAGGTTTTTCCCTGATGTTGTAGATGTTTGAAGTTAATGCCCAAATTAACATTAGCTTGTTAAATCTACCTTCCTCTTTCCTCGTCTCTCTCTGCCTCTCCTCAGATGCGTTCTGCCAACGTGTCTTTACTGTCATGTCAAACTAAAAGCTTTGCAGAGTCGAGTAATTGTGACTTCATGACATTTCATGAAAAAGCAGCAGCTGCGATCATTTTACAAAGTACACAGAGGAAACCCTGCTGAAGGGAACCTTGTTCCTGAGTCCTGGCATGAGAACGTGTTGTTTCCTTCTTAAAGCAGAAAGTCAGAGTTTGAAGCTCCTGATCAGCTCTGAGTTCAACAGCGGCTGAAACATTTGGGATTTAATCTTCATCATGGAGTCACATGAGAAATACTGCAGACTGTATCATGAGGGAGGAGACGAGTTTATCCTGCTGCTGCTCAAAGACACAAAGTTAAACCTGCTTTTAATTTACCCACAGAGCCTGAAATTGCCTGTGAGATGTTTTATAAAATAAAAAATAACCTGCAGGAACTGATCTGAAGTTTCTTGTTTACGTGGAGACGGACAGATGCAGTGAAACAGTTACATACATATAAATATTTCTGACACAGTTCAGTTTCCCTCTCTGGATGTTTCCTGGTGTAACTCTCAGTTTGTGCTCTCAGCAGTGATGATGGAGCTCTTCTTTCATCCACAGGATTTTTCTGCAAACTGTTTCTACTTTTCTCCTCCTGTGAGTCGAAGGTCTATTGAACAAACAGAAGCTCCTGTGCTGCCCCTGCTGGCTGTCTGACTGCATGTTTATATGGAGCTTTCACCCAGAGTGCTTTACAAAGTGCGTCTCATCACCTGATGTTCATATCATCAGTCAGTGATTGGCTAAGCTGCTTCACTGACTGCTGACAGACAGAACATCAGGAAGCTGCTGCAGCATTTCTCCAACAACCACACAATGATTATATTTAATGGCTCCCACATGTTACTAAGTGTGTTGAACATTTTAAACAAATATTGGCTTGTTTTAAACTAACAGTAAACACATGTCCTGCAGCAACGTTGCCACCTGTCCCGGTTTTCCTTTTTTTTGAGCGGCAGTCCCAGAAAATTTCTATTCTTTCCATGAATTGTCCCGTTTTTTTGTGAAACTGTACTAAAGTAGAATTTCCTGGTTTCAAATTAAACCATTTCCTTCTACTGTAACTGTGTTTTCTTCTTGGACATGTACATCCAATCCTGTGTCCATAAACGTGTAAAAACGGGTAAAACAGTGGATTGGTCAATGACATGTGTCTTTTATTTGATTGGTAGCAGAAATACAAAGCTCAACTTATCGCCTAGAAACTGCCCGTGCTGTCGTTCAGTCGCACGCATCCACACATCCAGGATAAAACAATGTGAGTTCAGTTTTTAACGAGTACGATTTAAAACCTACAACTCAGACTGGGTGAAAAGAGAAAGGCTCTCTGAATGGGTAAGGGCCACCCAAGGAGACCCGTTCTCCGCTACCTGTGTTTTGTGTCCTGCCAAAATTTCAGTTAAATATGAAGGAAAAAAGCAATGGAAAATCATGCAAAACAAAGAAGCACCAGAGTTTTGCATTAAGCAAACGCAAAAATCTAGCCATTGCAACGTTTATGACAAAGAAAGGTTCACCAGAGGAAGACAAGACAGCAGTAGCAGAGCTTAGCAGTGTATACCACGGAGTGCTTCACGGCCACAGCTACTTATCTACAGATTGTGGTAATAAAGTAAGTGCGAAAATCTTTCATGACTCAAGTATTGCCACAAAAATGTCATGTGGAAGAACAAAAGGTAAAGCTTTAGCGTTTAGCTGCAGAACTGAAACATACCCAATATTTTTCTGTCTGCTCTGATGCATCAAACCCGGGGAGCGCCAAACTATATCCATACACAGTCCAAAGAAATTGTGGATATCACCGAAACAAATGGCTTGTGTACCAGCCAGATCAGTGCATATCGTGCTGACATTGCATCTGTAAATTTTGGCAAGCATAATTCTGTTTATCAAAACTGAAAGTCAGTCCTCACATCGTAAAAGGGCAACTGCAAATGCCGCTTGATCCACAACACCCTGAAAAACGCGAAGAGAATTCTCAGAGCTGCAGGTTACGATGTTGAATCCATTGTCCTAAAAATCTACAGCGAATTCTCATGCTCAGCCAAAAAAGTCGAATCTCTGAAAGAGCTTTGTGAGAAGTGGTGCTGATGCTGCCGACAGCAATGATGAGGATGATGTGACTGTGTCTGAATGCTTCCTGTTGCTCATGCATAATGTAATGCAAAGGAATTTGACAGCGCAATTCGGAAGTTGGAAAATGAGAGTGCTACTCTACTGGATGTTCCTGGAGTAATTAGCCGATTGCGCAGCCAACTAATCTTGCGTCGTGCAGACAGATTTTATGGTAGTAAAACAAAGCAAGCATTCTGAAAACTAAGTGCAAGAGACCAAACGGAGTTTGCAACGCTGGTCAACAGCTTCTTTGAATAGGCTGTTCAATACCTGGAGGCTAACTTTGATTTTGACGATCCAGTTATGTCTAACGCTAGCTGTCTGCGACTGAGCGGTCCAATGGAATGGGATGTTCTCGACAAATTAGCTTTGAGCATTGACGAAGACAAACTGTATGAGGACTACACTGTATTTAGTGGGGTTGGTCAAAGCCAAACTTCAAGTTAGATTAAAGTTTAAATTATCATGCTTGGAGTTTAAAGCATTCATTGAGGGACAACCGGGACTTCTGCAGGCAGCAAAAAGGGATGAGAAATATACATGGAAAAATAGGTGAGAAATGTCAGTGTTAGGTTGCCCAAATTCATAAAGTTAACAAAAACAAACCAAAGTTTTTTATAATCTATTATAATACATCTAATCATGTTTTCATTGCTAACGGGAGTATAGCCTATCTTTTGACAAATGATTAGATTTTATAATAGATTACTGTATAATTATACAGTATATGTTTACACAGTGTTTATCTAAAAGTGTATTTAATGTTTGTATTTAATGTAGAAATGAATCAAGAGTGAGTGCCTCTACGTCAGGACATAAATATGAAGCCCGGGACAAGTTACACACACAACTTCGAATACGATTTGCAGGGTTTCTTTTTATTGTTTTCCCACCTTCAGGGCTGCTACTTTTATGTAAACTGAAGCAAAAATGCAGTCGCTCCACTTGAGTAACTGGGGAA